GTGTGTGTGTGTGTGTGTGTGTGTGTGTGTGTGTGTGTGTGTGTGTGTGTGTGTGTGTGTGTGTGTGTGTGTGTCATGCACTTTCTCTCTCTCCCTCTCTCCCTCTCTCTCTCTCTGTGCACATGTGTGTGTCTGTATCTCTGTCTCTCTTGCCTTCCCTCACCGTATGCTTGAGCATGTTAGTATACATGCCTCCTTGACTTGCTATATCACAAACTATCTGCACAGACTTTTATCTTTGTCGAAGACTTGAATATGTTTCAGCCTAAAAAACATTCTCGTGAATTTGCGTATACACGCCCTCAACACAAAGTGGCAACATTTTATCGTGGCACACTGCCACCGTTCTATGACGCAACGAGTAAAAGTTCAAGGAGGGAAAGCGCCGCATATATGTTAATGTTGCTAAGGGTAGACCCGGCATTATGTTTGCTTTGTGCGGCGAATACTGATAAATCCACGAATGGATTGCTAACGGAGATTACCACACGCGATTAGAATATATGTATGAATATATATATATAGTATTATTAGGTATTGTTTGTAATCGTGCAGCATGACGAATGGAAAAATACAAATTAACAGTGCATGCGTATAGATTTAGTATATTGGCGAAGTTATTTCTAAACAGTGCAGAGAAATATCAAAGGTTATCGTGGCGGGATGAGGCCGTGCGAAAGGGGTGACACGCACATGATCTACTTCACGCCTAATTCCCCATTCAGCTATCACGAGACAGGCATTGGTGACAATTATGGGCCTGTATTCCGGATTATAACGCTAGGATACGACGAATTTAATGTCGATTTGTTTTACCGTTTATCCACATGTGCGCATGCGCACAGCGATCTCGAAGACGGTAGACCTATGATCGCCGTGATGACTAATACCGCGTTGACACGGTAATGGGTTGGCTCGAGTAAATGGGCTAAATTTGGTTCAGGCTAAATTTGGTTCAGGCTAAATTTGGCTCAGGCTAAATTTGGCTCGGGCCGGTTTGAGTCGGAGCGTTCACACGTACGCAAGCGAATACTGTCTGTCGCGAGATGGCGTTATGTACGATTCAGTGTTTACATCCGTTCCGAGTTCAATTATCAATCTTGAAAACATACATCCTGATCAAATTTGTCGAATTTTTATACTGTTTTGGACTTTATTTCGTTGAAGTACACGTTCGACACTCGCGGCATCTACCGATTTAGATGGTGCTAAAATTTGGCTCGGACCTGGTCAGACGTTTTCGATGGGACCAAATTGGCTCGTGCTAACTCGGCACGGCCCCGGAAAACCGTCCGTGTGAACGCTTGGCTCGAGCCAAATTTGGCGCGTGCCTCATTAGGCTCGGGCCAAAAACGTCCGTGTGAACGCGCCTTATTATATGCCACGGAATGTTACAGCCGTTTCTACGCAGGTCGCTGCTTAAGAATGAATTCGCCCTTTATCTGGAGTGACATGCCAGCGTTCACTTGCTCGCTTCGGTTCCATCGTCCCGCCAGACGTAGCTTAGACTCTAATTCCATCCGGAGGGCATTTTTCGTCCACGGAGAAGGGAGACCATCGTGTCATTGACCTGTTATTGAGTCAAGGGATCA